AGTGATCAATGGCTCTTAGCTGATTATGTCTATGAGTAATTGGAGGGTACTATAAATGGCAAAAGTTCGCCTGAAATGGTTAAGTGCTCTTCAACATTCTTCGGAGACATCTCCCTTTATCCTCATTTTAAGGATAAAAATGTCATCCATCAATCATCGTCCACACTTTTGTTAAGTCTAGCTCATCTATCCTAATTTGATCTTCAAACGGTATTTGGAATGACAAAGAAACTTTATTGGTCTTTCTTTCGGATTGCTGTAGATCAAATTCCAAGTATTTTTCCCCTAGGCGGATATGATTTATGAGATAAGGAAAGTACACACCCTTGATATCACTGTGCGTGATAAGCTTATACGGCTGATACTGTACTTTGCAACGAACTTTGTACACCCATGGAATGCACTGATGTTGTCGTTTCCCGATTTTGATACTGTGTTCACCATGGCTGGATTCATAAAACTCTTCTAACTTAACTTAACTTAACAATATTAAGTTAATTCGTTACAAATTAACGAATTTTTCCGTTGATTGGTGGTTTTCATTACATTCAGCTCTTCATCTTCAAAGTCAAACTAATATTAGAGTATCACAAAATTAACGTATTAATACTCACTGAGTGTGTACTCTGGGTTTATTGGTGAAACGGTGGCACCTGTCATCCATAAGGCAATTACGAGCAGCACCATATGAGGACTATTCGTTAAGCATACGGTGACAATATCTCGTTTTCTCACCCCATGGTCGAAAAACTGTCTTGCATACGCACCGGTTATATCGATACACTGTCGGGCAGTGAAAGATTCGCCGGTGTCAGCAGAAATCTATGATTGTAATCTTTAGAAATTGCTATTAATTTAAGCATATGCAAGACTTACGAAAACGATCGAGGCAGACTTTCTCTGTTTCAAACTGTTCAGTATTAGGTCATGAATAGTAATTTCTAGTAGTCGCGGCTCGACGAATTGACTTTTCACTGGCATGCTTCGTTTTGCCACCAATCCACAGTGCTACCAGTTCGACGTCTCTGACTATTCAGCAATCTGCAATCAATGTTCATACACGTTGGAGAGATGACGACTAGCTCTCTAGACGTTATCAGTGTCAATCATTGTGCAGACATGCTCGAAATCACGGGGACAATGAAAAAAATACCCGACGATGCGCACATCTGAAGGGCAAATATTACAGCATACGAAATCGTCGACATGGAATTATAACTCTAATCCGCGTATAAAGATTCGATACATTGGTATTGACTACCTTATTGAGTCACGGAGTATTTTCTTTCTATTTTTTGATACTAACCGTACCCTTATTGTGAGATCATGCCATTATGCCACTACATGTCATAATGTATAAGTAGTCTGACCCTCGCTATGACTCATAAGAAACAGTGGCAACAATGGGTCAATAAAGCTAATCATTCAAAAGCCATGAAAAAGCAACTGCAGAAGATTGGCACGTAAAACGCGATGGGCTCCACATACATAATGGTAAATCTTACTACTGCTCAGGAGCAGTTCCGGCGAATATATTTTCAAGAGTTCAGATTGGCTTTATGCTAACTTTGTTACGAATGCTCGATAGAATTTGCTTGGATGGTACTTACAATTGTCACTGCCGTTTTAAGGACTAATTCCAGGGCAGTTGTAATGATTTAATAGTTTTTTCTTCAATTCAATGATGCGTTGTGTCTTTCTTCTGTATGCATAATCGATACATATATGATTGATGTTTTCATGTTCTAAACTGCAGGAAAGCATATACTTATCTGTTTGAGCAATGAACTCGACGTTGTCTTCGCTAATTTTTGGTCAAACTATCCACAAGGCACAATCTGGACAGATACGCTTATGGTGAAGTTATTATTGAAGTGCCCTTCATGCTTTTCAAACAGTAGCCATTCTGCTAAGGAAGTTTTCAGTATTGAATTAAAGTCTTCATATATATTATTTTTAAAATGATTTGTTTTGCTCCTTCCGTTATTTAATTATTTATATTGTCTAATTCGGATTCAGGAAGGGTGCAACCATTGTGAAATCTGAAGCACTGTCCGCAAATACTTTGCATCTCAAGTACGTCAACTGTGGACAGGATCAACTCTGGTGCAGCTGACCTCTCACTTTGTTCACATGACCAGTTATGGTTCGAATACGAGGTCGCGGCTGTTCTTCATTCCTTCTCAACGTTTTGGATGGAAAGGCAAAGTTGCAACAGTATGGCGATTAATTTGTAATGAGAAACGCCATTCAAGTTCAAACAGTAGACCTTTGACAATAACGTTGTATAATGATGGATTTTCTTGTTTCCTTTATTTCAGTTGTTTACAACAAGCATGCAGGTTTTACGCTGTTTTGTTTTGTCAGCAATTTCTGCATAACTTTCAGGCCTAGGGTTCACGATTTGCACCTATAGTTTACTATTGTGAGTATAAATTTATCAAAAACTTTCCGTCTCAAGCACAAGAGCAGTTTCCCGGATAGGAACAACATTTTCAATCTTCGAAAAGTGCTCCATGGCATTTTAACTCTTCTGTTGATTCCACAGGTACTGTTCTTTGTCGCAGTGGTGAGCTGTTTTAATTAGAGGTAGTTTTGCATTTCTTCAACACCAAGTCTACTGATTTCAACAGATCGCGAGATCACGTATGTTTTGAATATGACCTAGCCTTCTTCGGGACTATTTTCAGTTCTACTTTGATGCTGGTGTCGTGTCAGCGTACTTAAATTACCCACGGTTCGTGAAAGATATTCTGATCCTCGAAAAGTCACCAAAAGAAAGCTTCAACAAGGTGTCGAGCGCGGAAAAGAACTAGCTACAATAGATTTGATGTAACTGTTTTTTTCGGTTTTAGTTCTAGGTTCATTCCATTTTCACTTAGTGAGTCGAATTTGCAGAGAAGGCTATCGAGTATATTCACTCGAGTTCAGATTATCGATAATCTTATCTTGTTTGGCAGGTGGAAGAATCCGTGATTTTGTATAAATGGCTGGTAAGTATATGACTGAGTCTGAATATAACAAAAACTAGCAGCAATTTATTTTGCCAAAATATACTACGGTTTGAGATTGTTCAAGGAGTCGATTATGTTAGCTTCAATGGAAAAATTTCGGACCACCGAGGATTTTAATTTCCAAAGAGAGCATGTTTAAAATTTTACAATGTCCAGCTCTAGCAGCTCCTCCTGAAATCACGGGATCATGATTACCTTGATCTTATTAAGTTCTTTTGGCTATTGAGCATGGCTTCGATTAAAAGTCATCTATAGTTGTATTCTGTCAGCGCAAATAAAGTGCAGCAACTTCGAGCCGTAATTCGTTTGTTTTTAGCACCCTGTGCCTTCTTGCTGAATAGTTTCCGTCTACTCTGATGGCAAACAAATCTCCGGCAAATGATGACAGCGATTAATCAATTAATAAATTCCGATTTTATCTTAGACGATTTGACCATAATTCGTCACGCTCCCTATGAAGGTTGCCTCTTCAACATAGCTGGATACGTTTTTCAAGCTCTCACGGCATAGTTGAACATGACTGAGCATAAACACAAAGCTGTACATAGTCCGAGAATTCCATAGCATCCTCCTACCACATTGCAGCAGTAGTAATGGGACTCAACCATAGTTTTACTTACATCCCACATATCATGACTAGCCCACAGTCACTTGCATCACTCGGATGGTCCGGTAATCTGCGATGAATCGCGCCAACCCCAAAATGATTGCCTTTTCTCGCATTTTCGAACTTTTTCCCTCCAAGCGCGACCTTCTTGGCTTTTCATGCAATCTTTCTCACTGCCACGGAGGGCGACTAAATGGCTTAGTGTGCCCGCAAGGATTACAGTTGACGATCATCGCCGATCATCCTCAGTCGATCAATGGACCCACATGTCCGGTTCACTGTAACTTCTTCCTTCTGCTTTCGACGACGCCGTCCTTCACTCTCGTGCGTAGTTTTGCAGTCTTATCTTCGTGGTGAGGATGTGATCGTGACGTGGAAATTCGATCATTTTTTTTTCATTGGCTCTCTAGGTAGCATTCAGCTTCAGCGCGTAACAATTTCTTGCAGCCATACAACATTTTCGGCTAGACGGCAAAATTGAAGAAGTTGACGCGGATTTATTTCCCGTTGTTGCCTGGGAAGGTGTCCTTCAAGGAATGCAACGGTTCTTATTTTTTGTAGAATCTCTCAAGACTGATCGTGTTTCATATTCATTTCAGGACTCAGGCAAATGTATTTGTTGACATATTCGATCTTGAAGCCATTAATATCACCTGAGCTTTTGAACAGGGCATCGTCTTCAACCTATTGATTCGCAGTTTTCACTTTCACACTTTCTCTGTCGAGCTCCTGCAATATGTCTTACAACTGATTTGCTTTTGATTGGCAAAATTACACTAGGTCATCAGCGAATCTTTAATGGCTGAGCTCTTTGCTATTCATGTCAATCTCACCCTTCCAGTTCATCCTTCGAAATATCATTTCCAACAAACAGTGAAGAGTGTCAGGGAGAAAACGTCAACTTGTTTCATGCCTTTCTCTACGGGAATCCGGTGAGGGATGTCGAGCAGCGCGATGCCTGTGAAGCAAGCAGAGTTCGTTTCCTTTAGCACGCTGACATAACAAATATTGTGACAGTGCAGGCCACACTGCATTGTAATCGACCGTGTCGATCGCTTTCTCGCAGCGGTCAAAGGTTATGTACAGAGAGGAGAGGAATTCCCTTGGGCGATCGAAGAGCTGACTTCAGGTAAGAATATCATCCGTTGTGCTATGGCTCCTTCAGAAACTTTTCCGTTATCTCTGCACCTGTTCATCCAGAGTTGCTGACGTTCTGTTTATGATGATCATGGTAGCAGCTTGTAAACTTGAGAGATCAAGTAGATTGGGCAAGAACTTCGTTCTGACCGATATTCAACAGCACGATCGTCTGTGACTCCTCTGACCTAATGGTATCTTTGCCATATTCAGGTAGCAGCTGAATCTTTTTCACAGAAGCCAGAATGCTTTCTGAAAGCCCTCTGAAACTATCGACAGCTGTAAACGACCAATCACATTCGCGAAACTTCATCACGAAGCTACCTTGAAGAAGGTCCTGGGATAAAAACAGTGATATCGGTATTAGTCACCGGATTGAGCATAGTATCTTTTGCGTTGTGCATAAGTAGACCGTGTTTTGCGTTTTTTTAATATGACGACCAACGCACGAACGAATTACTATATCTTTGGATCAATGAATTTAATCGTTACTTTGTGTGAGGTTTGCATTTTGTGAGCTACGCAATATTATTTGCCTTTTATATTTTCATATACGGCTTTTCCAGGGTCATGAAAGTAAGGTAGTTGTAATAACTCTCCTTCAATTTTTGTTTCCGGAAACATTGCATGCAACTGTACAACTTATGTGTACCATTTTTTCTATTGAGATGCAGGTAGTTTAGATTCAAACAGGCAAGTGTTCTGTAGTGGACAGATTGATTCTTAGCGTTAGAAATGGCCAGTATTGAGGGTGAAGCAAATATCTTTAAAGACATGACGATTATCAGTCCAGATACAGATGTCTTGCATCATCGCTTTCTGACATCAATCAGTGATGGCATTTCTACCTATCCGTCGGTAGAGCATTACTGCAACTGCCATCTGTTAAGGTGCCTCGGTCTCTTGACCGAGGCCGAGGAAGTGAACACGAAAGCCATTGTTGCCGAATGTATCCTGATCACCAAGCAGTTGGTAGAGACGAAGGTCGCCCCTCAAACTGACCTTGCATGGTTGTGCAAGTTTATGCGCGACACTCGGAGCAAAAGTCTGTGCTGTGGACTTCGGATGAGAGCTGAGCAAGACCCCATTTTCCTAACCACCCTGTTGCAGACGAACGAAAACCTGCTGGTTGTCGCTGACCAACATGACAAGGAGTACGGCATCGGTATGAGCAAAGAAAATCTGTTGTTGTGGATGACCGTTAATAACGTACCTGTCTCGTACATCAGTCTGCACCTGAGCGATCCGCTGCATTCGTCATACGCTTCTGTCCTGGGCGAAAATAAGTTGGGCATCATCTTGGCGTTTATCAGGGATGAATTCAAGCATCGTGGAGCTTTCCAGAGTAAGTCACCGTCTATTATGTTCGTTTTGTTTAAAATAAGAGTTCATGGTCATAATTTTATGCATTTTAACTTATATTGATGTCTTTGTTCTCAGTAATCTAAGTGGGAAGCTGTTCTGTTTGAATAGTTGTTAAACTGGCCGAATTCACCACCATCACAAGCTTTTTTTGATCCACTAGTTCAACGAAGACGAAGATTCTGAGGGCGTCCTCTGCGACCGTCAGCCTGAGTGTTACTATTGATGGGTATTACGATCATGTGTATCAAAACCGTGTTTACCTAACGATGGCGACATTGATCCTGAAGTGAACTAGCGAATTGGACTGGCATCTGCAAACTTCGGCAAGATGTATGGCGTATAGAAAGATCGAACCATAAGAACTTATGCAAGGATAACCATCCTGCAAGCAGCTGTATTCCCTGTGTTTATGCATAGTTGCGAAACATATGCCATCTTGAAGCATCATGAAACTCGTCTAGACAATTTCTCGCAACGCT